GCTCAGCGGACGCGGTCGGTGGTGACACCCCTCCCCGGCCCACCGAGCGCTCAGAGCAGGCCTCAGAGCAGGCCGCAGCGCGCTGCAAGTGTCTCGTTTGATGCTTCCAGTGGCCAATAATCAACTTACCTTTTTAATCAAGCTCTTTTTGCCTTAGTTGTGATTCTTGAGACATCCATCCCATTCCCCGTGACGTGCAGGTGGCGGCGTCATCTTCTAAGTTCCCAGGCTGGTGCCTGCCGCTTCCTCAACTTACCCCTCCAGAGCAGAGTCTCCCCACCGGCCAGCGGACCGGCCAAGCCATGGGGCAGGACTCATCTCTAGGGCACGTCTGTCACACAGCCCCTGCGCTCACCTCTTGACATAGCGAGTTTCCCGTTGCACACTGACAGCCGTTGGCTTTAGGAGGTGCTAGGCTCCAGTCGTGGTAAACATTGTGCTCATTCTTCTATACAAGTGTATGTGAGAGCAATAGTATCTTGTAAGCGACATCTTAGTAACCATTGAGGAAATGAATGTAGTTGGCAGAGGCGTTTTCCCATTTTAGTAATCATGATTTAGTTTCAGAGTTCACACTTTAGTGGTGCCAAGAGTGAGACTGCCACAAGATCCATCGAGTGCCACAGGTCATTCTGCATATGCCCCTCTTGCCAAGGCCTTCCTTGGTGCTGAGCATCTTGTCGTCCTCTTGTAGCTGGAGCGACTGTATTTAGACCTGATCTTGTTGCTTTGATGATGAGCAAGAGATTTTTTTTGCTTCCCTCCTGCCTCAAGTAAACACTATATGTGAGACATTAGCGTTTCCAAACACACATTAAAAGAGCACTTAGCAATGTTCAGCCAGTTGTATCACTCAATTGGTTGAACAAAGCTAACCCTGTAATTTTGCGTATAGGGTGTCTTGCACATGAATGAGAATAGGGAGGGAGTATGGTATGATGTGTTCTCTTTGCTGTATTGCTCCATTGCTGTGTTCTGGAGAAGATGGGTGTGAAAGAGGGTAATAACCACAGTGAAATTATTTTCTCTGTTAGCCTTTCTAAAATATTTACATATTTATGTGGCTCGTACGTATAGCAAGAGGCCAAAGTGCATCTGAATTGCAGGTTTCCTCTTTTAATCTGTAAGCATGAAGTGAGTGAAGACATTCCAGCTTTGCTGAGTCCTCTACCTGGAGGAGTACACTTCTTATGAGACCCTCGTGAATCCGTGGAAGGGCTTGGATAGGCTTAGTTTGTGTAGTGCTAAAATAAAGAGAGGCAGGAAAGAAAGTGTGAATGTAGGCAATGTTCATTCAAAAAAAAAAAAAATTAGCGGGATTTTTTTTGGCATTAGTTAATAAACATCGATCTCTGCATTGCAGGTGAGCCCTGTGGTACAAACCTGTGTATGGAGAACTCCAGAGCACTGAGAGGGGGGTTGAAAATGGTCAGTTAATGTAACATCTCCCTTCCTCCCGCAAAGGTTACCCTGGCAGGTGGGAGAACACCTCTGGCCGCAGGGAAGTCAGAGGATGTTTCCTGAAAAATGCCCCTGGAGCTGTCTCATCTCTTCTACTAGATCTGAAGTATTAGTTTACTCAGTAGTTCCTAGGCAGGACTGGTGCTGATCTACACAAAACTCAGCTTTGAGGCTTTTTCTCTGCCTTTGATTCCCTAGCAACCTTTCCCCCTTTGCAGAAAATTAGTGTACTGGCTTTCCTTCACCAGGTAGGGTAGAGCCTCGCGCCCTCTCAAAGCCTAAAAGCCAGACTCATCTGTGAGGCTGTGTTGCCATCCAGCTCACCTTTGCAGTATATTTTTGTTTGGAGAGCATGAGGAGTTTTCTGTGGCTCCTTCCTGCACCTAATTCTTCTAGTCTGAAATTCAGTTCAGTTTAGACATCCCTCCCCCCCTTTTTTTTTCCCCCCCACAGCTACAGTTGCTAAAGTGATTGACAAATTTGAGGATGAAACTGCAGATGACATTTTCCCTGTTGGTAATATACGGAAAAAAGCGTCAGCCTCTCTCTTGGAAGCTGATAAAAGGTACAGTGGAAAAGCTACATCTCGCAAAGCCTTGCAAGAAGAACTCTGGGGAGATGCTCTGTCTGAAGGAGGATCTGGTAAGAAATCTCATTTCTTTCCCCTTTTCACTACACTGCTCAAAATTTGATGTTAGCAAAAGGGTATGACCAACTGTAAGGTGAAGTTCAGAGCACTGACTGAACAGTGTGTGGAGGAAAAGAAACAGCTCTGATTTTTAAGGCAATATATCTTGGGGACTGCAAGTATATACAGATTATCATTTAAAAACGCATACAGCAAACTCTGACCACCTTGTTTGCTCATCATGTCACTGTTTCATGGGAAAGCTAAGCCATGGATCTACTAATTGTTGCTGCGGAAAACGTGAGCTGAGACCTTTTTGTGGATATGGCCTTGTGTTTCCATTATTTAGCCAAAAGAGAGAGTACCATGGTGCACAGATAAAATGGAGTTTGGAGCTCAACTAGCCAAACCTGTATCTATTGATGATGCATGCTGCAAAGCGGCACGTTTTTCTGGTAAGTAAATAACTTTTTTCTCTTTTAATTATTAGCTGAAGAAGCATTAGATGAATGGTACAGCGGCAGTGAAGATTCAGAAGAGAATGGCAGCTTAGGCAGTAAAACAAAGGAGAAGCCGAGCAGTGCTGGCAGTGACCGGGAGGATGACTTGGAAGACGATGAAAGGTCAGATCTGTCTGTTGAGGCCAAGGCACCAAAGTTCAGCTTCCAGAATATCACAGACTTCGAGAAATTTACAGAGGGGATGGATGATGTAGGAAGCAGCGAGGGGGAAGATGAAGATGAAGATGATAACAGCATGGAAGAAGGAAGTGATGAGGAGGAATATGGGAGTGAAAACCATGACAATGTAAAGGAAACCAAAGACAGCGAAGATGATGGGGGGGTGATGACATTCTCAAAAGGACAAGAGACTGAAGAAGTAGAAAAAGGAAAAGCTGTGAAGAACCAGCTAGGTTTGTGCATATTCGCTTTGTATTTTGGCAAGACTTTCACCTTGCTGACACTATAGAAACTGCCCATGTTAGGAGCCACTTCAGCATGTTAACATGCTGTTAGCATACTGCATGTGCATGCTACAGCAACCCTAGTTATTTGCAAATGTTCTGCCAAACGTGCTGTGCAAACTGGTGTCACTGCTGGTACAAAATCTCATGTTACGAAGTGTATTTATCCACTGGTTTAATTGAGCTAGTATGGTATAGACTTGTAGTATTGGTGGGGATGGAGACTCCCTACACTGGTAGTGCTGGGCAGTGATGCTGATACCGCTTCTGTTTCTTTTCAAAATGTAATAATGAATGCAGTTTCTTCTTATCTGTCCTGTTAAACTATCAAACCTCCATTTGCAGAATGTCCTTTTAAACAGTAAAGTGAAAGGATGATTTTTTTTTTTTTTTGTGGGTCACAGAATTGCAGTCAGGATCATAGAATGGGATGCTGCTTTGTCCAGAGACACCTTGTGGTACCAATTTTGTGCTGGGTCAGTGAATGTAAAGATTTGCCCTAGTCAGGAGTAATGTAGCCCAAAGGAAAGAGCCTGTGCTGTTAAATCAAGAGCTCCTTCTTAAGGAGCAAGTGCTTTGGCTTGCTAAATAATTGTTTTATTTTCTCTTTGTTATAAAGCACTGTGGGATCAACTATTAGAAGGCAGAATCAAGATGCAGAAGGCGCTCATAACAGTCAACCGGCTTCCACAGCCAGATACTTACCCAATCTTCAGAAAGGAAGGTGGACAAGAATTTGACACTGCTGTTGAGAACTGTAAGAATTCTTCGGTTTTTCTCTTTTGGGTAGACTCTGCATTAGCTGGTATGTTTTTCCTGTGTGGAGACGTGTTAATAGGAAAGTGAGGGCTTTGAGTTGCCTGTGTCTGTAGTATTAGCTATTGGTTTGTATTGCCTTAATCATTAATTAGGTACCACGCAAACAGAAACAAAAAAGTGTTTCCTACCCCAGATGAAGAAAATGTCTCCTGTCACCCATGTCTGTATATGCCTGGGTGATCTCTGCTGGTGGCCTGTCATCACTTGTCTGCTCTTGGTAAGCCTCAGCTCAGGTCCTGCTGCTATTTCTAGTTCATGTGGGGATTGAAGTCTGCTTATCAAATTTAAGTTTCATGCTGGATCTTAGAAATAATTGGTTTGGTTATTGCTGTTCAGTGCAGAGTTGGGATGCTTCTTTTTCCAGAGACACCTTGTGGTACCAATTTTGTGCTGTGTCAGTGAATGCAAAGATTTACCCTAACCAGCAGTAATGTAGCACAAGGGAGAGGGCCTGTGCTGTTCTATCAACAGCAAATATCTTTTCAGCTTCGAGTTGCTTTGTCTGTTTATTTAAGATCACTATTAATGATATTGATCTGATGAGATTCGTAGTAGATTCTCCAATATGGCAAATGTGATGTGCGCACTCCAGCTGATCAGTGCAAAGCGCTCAATTTCAGTGTGTGGTGAATCTACTTAATTTTTAGAATTGGACGCCTTTTTTATTGGCCTTTACGTAAATGCACAGGGAGATAAAACGTCTGGTATGTTATCCTTAGGAATAAACACAAACTACTGCTAGTATCAGTTGGTGTCCATCTCTCCCTGACACGTTTTGTTATTTTCTGTCAAAAACTACATAGGTGACAGTGTTTATGCACAGATTGTTCTCTTTTCTCATCCCACTAATCAGAAATTAATGAACTGCATAGGATATTCTTCCAGTGATTTTTGAATAACAAAGATAAGCCCAGTAGCATTTTAAAGCTTGCCCGCTTGGTGATCCCTTTCTATTTCTTCTTTCCCAATCTTGAGATACTGCTCACTTTCCGGAACGTTTCAGCTCCATAGGTAGAGATCCCAAGAAACCCCCTGATGTGAACGAGTTGGTAGGAAACTGTAGTGGTGCCTACAGCCTTTCATGCTACACATCAGAGACATCATCTGAACCGTCTGGTTTGCTGTGGTTGCGTATCCGTTCAGCCGCAGGATGTGCCAGTTTGTGCAGGCTGTAGTGATAACCTGCACTGGAGAAATTTTGGCCTGGGCTGGCACAAGTCATCTTAAAATGGGATTAGGAACTTTCACCATCATCAAACTTGACCCTGAACCTTGCCCCTACACCAAGTTTTGTCTGTCATCTTATGGCTTATACTTGATCTGAACATGGTAGCTAATCAGCTTATCTGGAGTTACAGCAGGTGAGATACTTTATATTTTAAAGTTAGCTCTGCTGCTTTAAATGAAGTGATTAAGGAAGAAAAAAAAAAAAAGGCGAACTCCCAACAATACTAAGCTGACCTTTTGGTGAAATGCATGTTATTAATGTATTTAATGAGATGCATTACAAACTGCACCGAGCACCATGTTTCATTACGGGTCTAAAATGCAATATCGTTAAAGACCTTTAACAGAAACAATGGTTGACATTTTGATATTTCCCATAAGCAAAATACATCCAAGAACGTGGAGTATAATACTGTACACAGTACAGCAGGGAGGTTAATCTTTCAGTTGTCCAGAATGCTAAAGGAAAATCCACTGTTAATAACTGCTCAGTGATTCCCTTCCCACGCTCTTTTCATAATCTGAGCAGGAAAGTTGCAGTAGTGTACTCTGATGTTCCTGATAGCCTGTGTTTCATCTGTGAAGACAGCAAGACAATAAAGCTGGAGTGACCTGCGCAAAGTTAGCAGAGGAAGTGCTCAGACTGGCAGATAGAAAGTAACGAATTTAGGAACATTCTGCTACTACTACACTTGTTTAGTGTTTTCCACTGTACTCTAAGGGACCAAAGTTATATTCCTTTTTTTTTTTTATTTCTACTTTTTAAAAATAAAACCTGTAATTGTACAATAAAGTAGGTTACAATAAATAGGAGTTTTTGATGAGCTACACTATTGTCCAGTGCAGCTATCTTTCACAGCCCTGCAAAGATGCTCTTTCCAGAAGTTACAAAGTGCCAAGCATGAAATAAGGAATAAGCTCATCCATGAAGATCTTATGAAAGGGATGTAGTTGGTGTTATGTTGCAAAGACCTATTTCTCTCTCGCTTTGATGTGTTGAGCCCTGTGAGAGGGATTCATGTCTCATCAAGAGCTAGAGCTTTGCCCTGTGGGCAGTCTGAGCTGTGTTACATCTTCGCTCATGGAGCTTCTGCCTGGATAACAGGGCTGTGACCTGTCAGGTCAGGAGGTGAAACTAAGTCCTTTCGGAAAATATGCATCATAAATATATTTAAAGTTCTTTCATAAATTGATGCACCTTGATATATGAGGGGGAAAACAATCTCACCTGTTATAAATCAGCTTCCAATAAAAGTCTTGATTTTTAGCTGATCAAATGGTTTAGTGGCCTCTATAAAAATCCCTTTTTCACTCGATTCTGAATGGTGATGTAGTGGGCTGGGTAAACATTTCTGGACTCCTGAGTTCTCATGCCTGTTATGTTAACAGCTTATGGGTAGGATCCCATTCCCTCGACAGGAAAAATTAGAAGAATTGTGCATGAGAAAGTTTAAAGATGAGTGGAGGACAGGACTTTGTAAATACTGCATGTTGAGGTGGTTCCGTTATATGTGATGCGTTTCAGTCTTGGACAGGATTTGGGATAATCATGACATTGACACTGTTTTGGACTGGATGATACTTTCCTTTCAGGGAAGCCTCAGCGCTTCTTTCCAAATCCCCAACACAAATTTGGCATGCTTTCATCATCTTCATTGAATAGGAGGAAATGATTTGGTGTTCAAGTTGCACAAAGCAGTTGGTGCCAGGAATCCAGACTCTCTGTGTAGACCATATCCTGCTGAGGGCAGGAGGGCACAGAGAGCTCTCAGCACCTGGCTCTCTCTGAGGTCCTGGACAAGTCCCTCACATCTCTGAAAGCTGCCCCAGAATTCTTTCAGTAATTTATCCCAAGTCTTTCCATTGCTCATGAAATTTCTGCTCTGTGCTCACAGGAAGGATGATTTTTTTTTTGGAATGGAAAACAGTCCTTCCTATATTTGCTTCTTTGATATCTCCTCCTTGTGACAACCCTCTGTGCAGCTAGTGGTGGTAGTGACCTTCCCTAAGGGTTTGGGTATAATTGTGTTAAAGAGTAGACAGCAGTGTTCTAAACATTTGCGGTTCTAAAGCCAAATCTGAGTGAAAATGGTAAAGTCATGCTTGTTTTCCGAATTTTGAGGTTGGCAGTTGCAAAACCTCAAGTGTTTAATTTATTATTTTTGTAATCTTTTATAGATTTTTTTTTTTTTTTAGTGATACAGCATGCCTTGGACAGTCCTGGATTCCTGAGATCTCAGGTTCTGGTGGATGATTTACTGCAAAATTGCTTATAAATTGAAGTAGAAAATGTTTTGCAGACCTGGCAGCTTTCAGGCTTCACACCCATTTGTCACCCAGCATTTCCCTTTGTGTATAGAACAAGAATTAATTAGGCTGCACTGCAGGAAAAGTTTATGGCCATAATTTATATAGGATGAATTTCTGTTTAAAGAGACAGCATTGCTTTGTTTGCACTGTCTTACTTTTTCTTTTTCTTTCCTTTTTTTTTTTTAATCTTTAATTATATTCCAGATTTTTTTCTGTCACCCTTTTTACATACAAATTGGAGACCAAACTGTGGTCATGGAGCTCATGTTTATTCCTGTTTTGCATCCATGGAGAAAGTCTGAGTGGTTTTTAATACTGAAATCACAGTGGCTGCGCTCTGAATGCAGTGCAAATGTTTAATGCACTGCACACGTGAACTCCCACAGCTTACGTTTCTGAGGTGCTGCTGCCTGGAGTGGTCTGTTTCTCCAAGATATATTTGTATTCTCTTGCACCATATCTTCCAGTCTAGTCCAGGGCTTGAGATGTTGCCTCTGTTTGGGGTCTTGCACGTTCAATTAATGTTTTTCATAATCAATGCAAGTCAGAATTTGCAATCTGCTCCTGATTTGCACATTAAAGAGACCCATTAATTAAAAATTCCAATCCCTGGCATGTTCCCGCAGGATCCTTGCATTATTTACATAGAAAAAGAGTGCAAGGTGCAAGTTTCTGTGCTGTGTCTCTGCACAGATTGCATGCCTGCCATTCATATTTTTATGTATGTTTTCAAGGGGGAGGAAGGTTAGAAGTAGATCTCATGAAAATGTCACCAAAAATTACCTCAAGGGCAGGAAAGAGCCAAAGAAGAGGTGGAAGCAACATTAGTGAAGCCACATCCAGTGTCAGGAATTAAAACAGTTGCTAGGTTTGGGGCTTGTTATGTTAAATCTTGATACAGTGACAAAAAACCCCACAGCTAATTGGGGGGCAAGGGGGCAACGAGAGCTTTAAGAATTGGTATTTCTCATCAAGGCTAGAAGCTGTTGTTCTGTGTGCCTGGGGTAGCTGCGCTTCCCGATACGGTCATGTAGCTCTGTTCTTGCTGTTTTAATTACTTTCTCTCTATAATTCTGGTTAAAAATACTAAACTGGGAATGTTGCAGTGACTAGTACTTTATGCTCCACAAAAAGAGCTGGGAAATGTAGTTTTTAAATAGTATAACGTGTTATTTTCAGTTTTAGTTGGCAAGATGAGGAGTTAAAAACATACAGAAACCCAGGGGAGGATCTTGCAGAAGGCAAGGTACCCATGGAAATTGCAAGACTGAGTAGTTGTGTATGTTTTCGCATGCTTTCACTTTCCAAGAGTTCAATAGGTCCCTGAAATGTAAAGCTGAATTTTTGTGGGCTTTTTGGGTTTTTTTTGCTTTGACTCCATGGATTAAGAAAATACTGGAA